TGGAACAAATGGCCACCAAATCAATCGAATTTATGCTCCCTTAAAATTCTTGGTGAGCTGAATGTTTGGCCAGTGCTCAAATGCTGCAAGATATCCCAGTGTTGAGTCATTCGGTCGTGTCAAATCGTTGCTGAAGCGATCCAGTACCAGTCAAAGAGTTCGTGCCCACGAAAGTGAGGCAATAGTGATGAAGTGCTTTTCTGTGGGGATGAGCGCCACAAACTTAGGTTGACCCTCGTTCCTCGAAAGGCGTACTTGCCCATACTGCCCAACCGGCGTCCCAACCAGAATCCCAATCTTGATCCGAAGCTGGAGTGGGTCCTGATAGAAATGCTGCGAAGCAAACGGATGCAAGTAACACTGCTAAAGCTGAAAGCACAACGGCCTCGCTAGACGGGCCACCCGGTGTTTGTGGTGAAGGATGGTTCATTGTGAGAAGTCTCGCCAGGAATGAGATATTAGGCACGCTGTCTCTTGAAGTTCTAGTGGTCGGGTACTGGGATACTGTTGTTCCGAAGAGAAAACTATGCAAGGTACAGAAACGTGACTGCAGGGATGACGTGAATGTTGATGTTGATGCCCGAGTGGTTGAGGCAAGCGGCACTGAGTTCCTGCCCAAGTCAATGTGGCAAGTGCACACCGACTAGAGCTTGGCAGAAGTGAATCACCCATCTAGCCACTATAAGTGCATGGGCTTGGTAAAAAGTGACGGTGAAGAGAAGGAATTTCGCTCCTTCCACGTCACAGACAACGTGGCGGCTGCAATGAAAATGACCAGCCGCCAATAGAATTCACAAGGCGCAAAACTAGAATTTCAGGGTTGATTTGAAGATATGGCACAGCTTTAGAGCCATAATGACCTGAGAAACTAGGTTTGCTATGGAATTTATTGCTGCTTGTTATTCAGACAACCTAGAGTATTTAAAATGCCCCCTGACTAGAGTTAACATCACGTGACTATGATATTCTTGACTTTCCTAGGTCGGTGACGCATTGCATCGCGGCATACATGGCCAAGAGCTGAAGCTTATGTCAATACATATATTTTCCACAGAGATAGATCGCCCCTGTTGAGATGGTAGAACACTGATTACGAGTGACCGTTTTGCCTCGCTACCCCACTAGTTCAGGGGCAAGGTACCTGTACCTTAAGCCTTCATGACTTCTCCGAAGTGCCACTTCTCTCATGCTTTGAATGGAATATCAAAATCCAAGTCTTCGGATGTATGCTTCCTATCAATACCTTTTCTTCCGCACACAACTATATCACCTGTATCAATAAGCAGCACGGTAGCAGATTCATCGCACTATCTTCCTCAATGAGGTTGGTTACGCGAAGAACCCCTGTAGAAGCAAATACGGCAAACAAGCACAGGGATACGAAGCCTTGAATGTTCTCATGTTCCGTCAGATCCCCTCCAACCTTCTAATCTATCAAGTAAATCACCCAGAATCATTGAACAGCGCAATGGACATTCTCAGCCCTAGTACCAGCAAGATATTGCTTGCTGTGAGTTGCCTGGCAACATTTATTGTCCTTGTCGCAGTTTACAGATTACACTTCAGCCCACTCGCTATATTCCCAGGTCCAAAGATTCAGTCTTGCTAAAGATTTTCCCAGCCATCACTTCACTGTATCAATTCTATTTCGATGTCATTCAAGGCGGCGAATATGTTTGGCAGGTTGAAGAGATGCATAAGAGATATGGCAAGTTGGTCCGGATTGTGCGGCAATCACGACGCTGACTGTTTAGGTCCAATCGTGAGGATACGGCCGGATGTACTGCACGTAAATGATCCTGAGTACATAGATCAAGTGTTTGGCACTGCTGGAAAACGACGTGATAAATATAAGCTCACGACAAATGGGCTCGCAGTTCCAGGGGCAGCCATCGGAACGATTCTCCACGATCTTCACCGAAGCCGGCGCGCTCCGATGAATCCTTACTTTTCAAAGCAAAGTATTCAGCGTTTGGAGCCTATTCTCCAGCAGACTTTGAAAAAGGTTCTTGGACGTTTGGCACAGAGGGCAGGGTCCGGGGAGCCAATCGCAATGCAACTTCTGTATGCTGCAACCACCAGCGATATTATTTCCGATTATTGCTTTGGACAGAGCTCGAACAATCTTGATCGCGAAGATTTGAATGCGCCATATTTCGCTGGATTCACTGAAGGTGTTAGAGGGTATCATCAGCTGAGCACACTTTCCTGGCTCCCTTCACTCATCAAGGCGCTTCCGCTCAGTATTGCAATGTACCTATTTCCGATGATCAAGGGTGTGGTGAAGCAAATAAAAGTCAGTATAAATTCCTCAAGAATTCGTATTATTTAACCAAGAGCAGGAATTATCAGCAGTGATTGAGGAAGTGAAAGCCGCAACTGTTGAGAAGACGGAAGGGAAGATGGCACCGACTGTATTTCATGGCCTTCTCAGCACAACTAATCTTCCAGAGTCAGAGAAATCTACTCCTAGACTTGTTGACGAAGCCCGGATCTTGCTTGCTGCAGGGACGGATACTACAGCAAATACGCTTGCGGCCATTACGTATCACCTGCTCGCGAATCTAGATATCTTGAAGAAAATGAAGGATGAATTGAGGATCGCAATACCAGATCAGGATACAATGCTCCAGTTATCTCAAATCGAAAGTTTGCCATACCTGACAGCTATTATTCAGGAAGGCCTCCGACTTCATCCAAGTGTGAGCTTTCGACAAGATAGAGTGGCTCCTGACGAGGACCTTTTCTACGAGGACGTGAAAGGTGGGAAGAAATATATCATTCCGAGAGGGGTATGTAAAATTTATGGCTGAATATTCTCACCGACAACGAGAAGACCCCCGTCGGCATGACAGCTCCGCTTCTGAGCAGGGATGAAGAACTCTACCCATCGCCCATGACTTTCGATCCCGACAGATTTCTGAAGAACCCAAGACTTGATCGATACCAACTCAGCTTCTCTCGAGGCTCTCGTAGATGTCTTGGTGTAAGTTCTCTTAACTTGTGAATCATCGTACTAACAGATAATGTAGATAAATCTTGCATATTCTGAGCTGTATCTTATACTAGCTGGAATATTCAGAAAGTATGCTTTATATGACGGTTCTGGAAAGCAAACTAGTCCAACTTTGGAATTGTTTGAGACTGGCAGGGAGGATGTGGATATGGCTTTTGACATCTTGATTCCATTCCCAAAGAAGGGGAGTTTGGGAGTCAGGCTGCGGATCAGATGATGGTTTTTCATGAGGCTTTAGTCTATTTAAATAATGTAGTGAGTGATGTCGAAGTCAATTTAGGGAGTCTAACCACGGTAATAATCTAGATCTATATTTTGACTCAAGCCTCCCGTACCGAGAAATTGAGACGGGAAATCACACTAGATACCAGTATTGTTCTAGGACCCAAACCTGTGGAGGGATAGAAAAGTCTAAAATTTACTAGTCCTAATTATAATACGTGACTAACTTTGATTCATTCTGTGCCCTATAGCGTTTTAATTTCAAATATAGTGTGCAAATTTCAGAGGGCCATTCATAATATTTTCTGCAAGTCATCCATTGTTCACGACCTTGCGCTTGTCTGAATATCCGCAGACAGCCTATTACCAAGTGTTTATGTCTGAATTCAACCGTATTCCTACGTTGCATACTATTAATCGACTTTTGAAACTCCAATATGGCGACAATTTCAGAAACAGTCCTCAAAGCCAACGAAGTTAGTTCTGAACCAACGCCATCTCTCTTCCTCACTCGCTTCCCTCTCGAACTCCGATTCAAAGTATTCGACGAGCTCCTCAACACCCACCACATAATCATCATATCACCGAACGGCAAGCAACGAGGAGTTCTCAGACCGCTGGCCCAGGTCTGCAAGGAGATACGTGGTGACATACAGAAATGGCTGGAGGGAAAAAAAGAAGCATGCATTATCCGCAGCCTGACGTTTGGTGTTTTCAATAACGAAGTCACCACTTTCAAGATGTGTTGGGTAGATAATCACTTTTGCTACGTGAGCCGCGACAACGCCAGGACAGGACTTTGCACACTGCAACGCTGCTATCATCCAGGCCATCCTACGCGTGATCTGAAAAGGCTCGAGATCTGGCAAAGGGCGATAGACATCGGGAAGAGCAACTTCCGGCCACAAATCAACTCCACGATATATGCTGGAGTCGGTATAGAGGCCGTTGGTGCAGGGTTGGCTTGGAGAGAAGAAGATTGGATTGTTCTTGACCCAAAGCAGGGGAGGGTTTGCACGCTGACTGATCAGTTCGTGTGGTCTCATGATTTTGCAACACATGTTGAGCATCAGGAATATACGAGGCAGCACCCGCAGGAAAAGATGAGGGTTAAAAGGGTGGAGTGTGGTCTTGCATTTGAGTTTAAGTTGGTCCAGGTGGGGGAGGATGTTGAGTACGTGGAAGTAGATTAGAGGGGCTGTCTAATAGCGAAACATAATTACTGGATGATGGTTTACAAGAGAGAAAGTGTCATGACAGTCGATCGAATAGCGATTGAGAACATTTATTGAAGGTAAGAAGCATGTTTTGGGATACTTAGTCACGTGATGCTCATGTACCTTGATTCCGATGTGAGTTCCGGCATCTACTCTTCACTTACACTCTATGAAGTTTGACATTTGTAGGTCTTGAACGAGGATTAATACAATGGATGATTCGGTAGATAATCGATGAACTCGCTATGCCTATATATCCCTATAAATTAGCTGAGGTTTGTGAGCTTGGTAGTTTAGGTTTGTTTCAATTCCAAGGACTAAAGTCTGAACCAGCCTCATTTTCTTTTCTCGGCAGAGATTTGAAAGAGTACATTGTAAAATGATTTGAAAGTAGGGAGTTTGATGAGCATTTTCGTGGTGGTGGGGGGTGGGGTGTCCCACTTACCCCACACTTTGCTCCATTCCAGCCAGTCATACAGCGAGTCGGGGCTTATTTTTGAGTGAGTAACATGTACTAGAATAAGACATTTCTGCTCAAATCAACAGGTCTTATGGTCTAGTGGTATGATTCGTAAGTCCCAGACACTCAATTTATCTTGTGATACACAACTAACATTACAACAGTCGCTTAGGGTTTACTCTGAGTTCTACATTGCGAGAGGCCCCGCGTTCGAATCGCGGTAAGACCCTGATTTGCTTTTTGCTCTTTTTTCATGATCGTTTATATTTTTTTTGGCCCTTGGTGGTTGAAAACTCACTTTGAAGATATTTTTCAGTTAACCGAGCGTCGTGCAGCAGCTGGTGCGATTAGCGGTGCCCCTGAAAGCTTAGCGAGGAACATCAAAAGAAGGAACCCTCACCCAACACTAAATAATTTCTACGATACTAATATCAAGGAATGCTTTGTTAAAATGAGACAGTTTTAACTTGATTGTACCTGTCAGATATAAAACAATTCGAATTACGCTTGCGCGCCTCCAACCAGCAGAGCAAAAAGCAAATGGGGTCTCACCGACGATTTCAACGCGGGGCCTCTCCCAATGTAGAACTCAGAGTAAACCCTAAGCGGCCGGCTGCGAAGCAGCCGGCTTTGTCCATCGAGAAGAAGATGAACTTTAATTTAAGCTGCACCTCGATTTTTCATCCCCTGGAATTGCTCGCATCCCCATCTCCTAACTAGCTAGTTCGGGAATATAACGAGCAAAGAAGCAGGAGATATCCAGATTTCAAAAAATTCATGATGATTCCCTCCGTTCGCCAGTTCAAGCGACTCTGGAAGATACAAGACAACACATTCGAAATAATGAATAATTAAATTTAAGTGGTTGGTCTTCAGTGGGGAAGTACATTGTGCTCTGTTGTACACATCAGAAATGGAACAATGGTATGATACCAAGCAATCAATGTCCTTACTCAAGCTGGACCAATATCCTCAATTGTCCCAATAACGTTTGGAACAAGGTAACACGATTTTCAGATTTATTCCAGCAAGACCTCCATCAGTTCTTCTTGTAGCAACAATTCCTAAGGAATCATTCTATGCATGAAACCATGACAGTCTTGTTGAGACGCTGTGGAAAAGTCTCGATAAGACTCAACGACTTGTGACAAGAAAACAAGATGCTGAAGATGAATCGAAACTGGCGAGTTTCGATTCTAGAAAAAGGTATTACCAGCTCGTATTTCATCCTGACGGGGAGAATCCAAGACAAACCAGGATACCGCAAGCTGGCAATCTCCCTTTTAACGCCGATCACTTTCAATCCTAATGTCCAGAATTCTCTGGAACACTCGACTCATCGGAACTAATTTCCTTCATAGTATTTGCAAAATCTAATAGCACTTTCTAGGTAATTGGTTTCTGAATGAGACCGCTGAGAAACGCTTCCCTATTGCAAACAGGCTCGCAGCTCCAATTGTGAAACCTCTAGTTCGACCGAAGGTCTGTAGGCATTCATCGAGTCCTTGCGTCAATCAGGCTGGAAGGGCTAGCCTTATGCAAAGCAATGGATTTCAGAGTCGGATTAAGCCTATTCCCGAATCGTAAACATCGAAATCAATCCCAATTCCCTATGGTCTGGAAACCTTGTACGAAAAGAATGATACTGGCTTTGGCAAACGATAGCTAGGAATGATGTGCTCAAACAACTTATCTCCTAGGTTCCCTCTAGCTGAACGCCGAGGCAACAACCAGTTTAGCAAGCAAAAAATTCCAAGAAAGAGGCCAATAATACCAGCGAGAAACGAAACCCATGGCTACCCAAGTGGGCAAAGGTTTGAAGTGATCCACTCCAATCTGGAGCATTGAATTGATGATTTTATTCCTCAGACATATCAAGTCATCAAGTGATAGAGCGTTGCTTATTTCGCTGCTTGAAGTTTGTATTACAGCTATGATTAGATTCTTTGGACTCTCTGTATTAATGGAGCAGCTTAGCTCCTTTTGTGGTGGACGGAAACGGCAGCGCCGATTCTGAATGTCCTAATTTAAAATGAACAATTGCTTTGTGAATTAGGAGTTTCATAATTATATCCTATCATTCTTAAGATATGTGAAGAGAATAAGTTCACAGTGTACAGCAACTCATGCGTACATTTGGGGAGGAAGCATCTGTAGTGTCCAGCATGACTTAGGACATTGCAAATGAGTACCGCTTTCCTGTCCACCACGAGCTCGTCGAAGAAATTTAATGTAAGTGTTCCCATGCAGCCACGAAAAGAATGAAAACTAATGTAAAAGATCAAATATTCAGTTGAAACATGAGCCGATGCATTTTGGGGGCGAAAGGGGGTTTTCCCCTAGACTTCACTTGGTCTCAAGTACACTTTTGTTGTAATGAAACATGATAAAGACATCACTTGGAATGCAGAATAAAGACAACGCGAAAGTCAAGGCATCTATTTCTGTCTACCTCACGTTCATCGCAGCTATTGTTGATACCGTGACGCCACGCAAATTCGTGGAAAGCCTTGATTGCATATGTTACCACCAATTCAGCCGTATTGCAAGAGATCTGACCATTCCCAGCAATGTGTACCTTCATCTATGCATCCTCACCATTCTTGAAAGTTTTCACTGGAGCTGCTGAAGGATTGTTTGCCATTTACTTCTCATCCAACGCATCCAGTTTTACTCCAATGAGGTACATGAAATAATCTCAAGCATCGCGTGGGCGGTGTTGTGCGAGATCAGCCTTCTGTTTTTGGCAGCTACTTCGCCAAGTTGGATTTTCTTTTGTTCGATCTTGACGATCAAGCCATGCTTCCAGTCCCTCTACTGCGCTACCTCCGATGCCACTGTGGCCAACTAATCGTCCCATCTCTTCTAATTGTTGAGATAAACGGCTCGGACCTCGATGACGGATCTTGGTGTTCTAGTCTCGCATCAGATGCCATTCTTCCTAAGATGACTTGATGGGGAATTCTTACCTCTCCTTCCTCGCGTGCACGGTCTCGATTCGAGTGTTCCTCAACTTTGCGATCCTCAGTTTTGCGATCTTCGCGGTCACGGTCTCCAACTTTATGATTCTTAACTTTGCGGTCCTTATGGTCACGATCTTCATGAGGAAGCTTTTCGTGGCCGCGAAGTTCCATTCGAAGACTACCTTCAGAGCGGCCGAATCCTTCACGAGGGATCTCCTCACAACTTTGGACATCCGGGAGGAGTCCTTCGCGAGGGTTGCTATTATTATGGTTGGATCCTTTACGGGGGAAGTCATCCGAGCCGCCTGATCGTCCACTATTGTCTTCAAAGATGCGTAGTTCTTCACGAAGGCTGTTATCGTAGTGACGGAACGCTTCACGAGTGGCATATTCATGATCTTGGATATCACGGCTGCGGGTGCGATCACGAGAGATCTTGACGTGGTGGCTTGATCGTTTATAACGATTGCCATCGTCACGGCCGGATCCTTCACGAGGGGTGTCTTCAAAGCGTTGTTAATCAGGGCGGCGGGAATCTTCAAGTGGGTTGCTATCGTAGCGACTGGATGCTTGACGAAGGACGACTTCACGACGTTGTGTTTTGGGGCTGCGAGATCGTTTACGAGGGTTGCCATCATACCGATTGGATCCCTCACGACGCTTGTCCTCACAGCTGCGCGATGCATTACGAGGGACGTATTCGCGGCGTTGGAGATCGGGACTGCGTGATCGTTCACGGTGAGCGCGTTCTCCACCTTGGACATCGAGGCTGCGGGATCCTTCACGATGCTTTTCATCGTAGCCGTGCGATCGTTCACGAGGGTCTTCACGATGGTAACTTGGTGATGGCTTGCATTGGGAGGGTTCGTGCCCTTCAGGTAAGTAGGGACGAGAGGAATTTCTTGAAAACCCCGAAAAGACCGACAGCCGCAAGACTTCTTCTGATCGTTTCGTTTGACCGTACCTTGTTGTTGATCTATTGGAATCCAAAGCCGAAGGGACTTGGCTGGTAGGTGGCTTCTTTGGGTGGGACTTGTTGTCGAATGCGGACACATCGATGTCACCAGCTGTCGGTCAATTTCATCAGTATTATCCTTACTGATGAAAAAGGGTGCATCACACACCTTGCAATTCAGAATCCATACGTGGTTGGGCAGAACCCTTCTGGTTGAGAGAACCAATCCACCATTACCAATAACTATTCAAGTTCGTGAACAGGCCACTCGCTTACTGAGGATGGGCATTATTTACTTTGCAAGCCAAAGCGCGCGTTGATTATGTTCGGGTTCGATGCCATTCTGGCGGTCTCGTGCTGCGACTAAATAACGAAGTCAGCTTAAATATAAACTAAGATTGAGGGACCTACCGCAGCGTCTTGTGTCGTATATTTTGTTGGAAGAACTCTACTCACGGACGAAATTTTACTTTATATACTCGAGAGCAGTACGATTTCGGTAAAAATATGCACCTTACGGTGGTGAATGTGCCAAAGGCTCAAAGTCGAGACCGGTTCTGCTTCAACCTTCCAAGCCTGCGATACTTTCAACTTGGTAATATGATTGTAGGCCCATTTCCTACAAAACTTTCAATTTCTTCAAAGAAAGTATCTGCAAAGGAATGCAAGTTTGACCTTTTCTCACGGGCCGTTCGACTTTTCGTCTCGCGATTTAGTTTGTCACAAATTAGCCGTATTCCCCAACTCTTTTCTCAACTCGAGCAACTCGGCCTCCAGCTTCTCAACCAAAGTCAACAGTACCCACTCCGTCAATGTCTCGGTGACATTGAGCGGATTCTTTCCATGCAGCCAATCCAGAATCTGACCGCCGTCAGTCCACTCACCAAGGCCAGTACGCTGCAATTTAGGGGAGCCTTTCTCTTCTGCATTGCCATCTTCTGCATTATTGACATTCCGCTCATCCGACGATGGTTCCAGCACACCCATGAGGTAGAAAATGTATTCCCAGTCGTCGAAAGTGTAGTCCTTCTGGCGGTTGTTCTCTTGGTTCTTGATGTGGTCAATGGCTACTCGCTTAATGGCCTGGACTAAGAGATGGTTTTTATCGTGGATGTTGTTTGGTAGTTGCTCAATTGGGACAAGACCAGCTATAGTTGCCCTGAATTAATGGCGACGAAGATCTGGGGGCGGATATACATACCGGAAAGATGCTTTGTGCTTTCCTGGGGTTGCGAGTGGAATTTTCCTCTGTACCACTGCTTCAACCCCGTCAAGTAAGGTATTCCGACTGCTTCAGTGCCAGTACTGATC